GAAGGACAGGGTGGGATGAGGGGGGACAGCTGGAGACAGGGAGGGTGGGATGTGGGGATATTTGCTGATAGGAAGGGTGGGAGGTGGGGAATACCTAGGAACAAGGAGGGTGGAATACAGGGAACCCCTGGAGACAGGAAGGGTAGGTTTTATGGGACAGCTGGGAACAGGGATACTCCCCAGGTTGCTTCCTGGATGACAATGGCGTGGAGTTTCCCGTTGGACAGATCTGGTCTCCAGGCGATCCCTGTGAGTTATGCATCTGCCAGGTGAATGAGAACCTGCTCTGCTTCATTCCCTCTTCCCCATCCCTGCCCTAGCGCACGGCTCCTGCCCCATTCCCACCCTCGGGATGCCCGTGGCGTGGCAGGCCCCAAATCCCCCAAATCTGGCGGGTTTGGGAATCCCGAGGTGTCCGTCAGGGTGTTCCCGCCTGCAGGCAGACGGCTCCGTGAGCTGCCAGCGCACGGATTGTGTGGAGACGTGTCCTTATCCCATCCGCATTCCCGGGCAGTGCTGCCCCGACTGCTCTGCAGGTGAGCGTGCGCCCGGAATTCCGGGATTCTGAGCCGCCCGGGGACCGCCTGAGCCGCTCTCCCCGCAGGCTGCACCTACATGGGGAGGATCTTTTCCAACAACGAGACCTTCCCGTCGGCGCTGGATCCCTGCCTGAGCTGCATCTGCCTGGTGAGGGCTGGGCCGGGCGTTCCCAGAGGATTTGCGGCTCCCGCCCCATGGGCTGAAGCCCGGTTTTTGGCTCCGTTGCAGGGAAAAGCTCCGGGGGCGCTCCGGGGTTCCTAACGCCCGGCCCTCGGGGGTCTCTCCCGTCTCTCGCAGCTGGGCTCGGTAGCCTGCTCGCCTCTGGAATGTGCCATCGTGTGCTCCTACCCCTTCCACCCCGAGGGTCGGTGCTGCCCCGTCTGTGAGGGTACGAGCCTGGGCGGGTCCCCCAAAATCCCCCCGAGCCTCCCAAAATCCCCCCGAGCCTCCCAAAACCCCCTCTGGACCTTGGTCCCTGCAGACTGCAACTACCAGGGCAGGAAGGTGGAGAACGGCCAGAGCTTCATTCCTGAGGGACAGCCCTGTACCCGCTGCACCTGCCAGGTGAGACCTGCCCATTCCCATAGGATGCCCGTGTCCATGGAGTGCCTGTGCCAGTGCCACTGGATCTCAGGAAAGGCTGGCAGGGCTGGCTCATCCCTGTTTTTCCAGCTTGGAGAGGTGAGCTGTGAGGAGAGGCCGTGTCCCCGCTCCTGCTCTGAGCCCCACACACTGCCCATGGGCTGCTGCCCATCCTGCCCAGGTAATGGGATCCCCAGATCCATCCCCTGGCACCTGGATCTGACCCCTCCAGACTGGGGGTCCTGGGAAAGAGGTAGGTGCTGACCAAAATCCTCCCTCCGTCAGCCACAGACATCCGGCTTCTGCTGCAGGGCAGTGACCTGTCCCCATCCTCATCCCTGTCCCCATCCTCATCCCTGTCCCCATCCTCATCCCAGTCCCCATCCTCATCCCAGTCTCCATCCTCATCCCAGTCCCCATCCTCATCCCAGTCCCCATCCTCATCCCCACCCTCATCCCAGTCCCCAGTCCCTGAAGATTCACCCCCTGGCACCCCTCAACACCTCCGCTACCGCCTGGCCCAGCTCCTGCTTCCCACCACACTCCCCCTCGGCCCCTCTCCAGGAATTTGGGGTGCTGGAAAGCCCCCTCTGACCACTCCCAGTCCCTCCGGATATCCCTTGGCACCTGCTGTGCCCGCCGATCCCCGCTGTGAGGCCACAGCTCCCCCCAATCCCATGGGCAGCCCTGAGGCTCAGGGATCCCCTGGGAATGAGGATCCCTCTGCGGTGCCATCGGACAGCCCCAGGTTCCAGGTGCCAGGTGTGCCTGGAACTCTGTGAGGAGGAGAAGGAGGATGAAGGAAAGGAGGAAAAGGGGGTCTGCAGGACCAGCAGGCCTGGCCCTGAGGAGGGGGAGGGCAGCTGTCCCCCTGCCACCAATAAAGTCACTCTGGTATTTATTCCCTGTCCCCTCATCCCTGCACCCACCAGCACGTGGAGCCCTGGAGCTTGTCCTCTGGGAATTTTGGGATGAGTGGCTTTCCAGGGTGATGAGGGCAGTGCTGGAGGTGTTCAGCCTCCTCACCCTGAGTGGGGTTTGGGGACAGGAGACACATGTCCTGCCCCAGGTCCCCAAGGCTGGGAGCTCCTCAGGGATGAGCAGAGCTACATCCAGGCTCCCTTCCTCAGGGCATAGGGATATCCTTGGCAGCTGAGGGTGGCACCAGGGACACACCACATTCCCAGGGATGTGGCAGCCTTTCCCAGAGAGACACAGCACAGAGGGGCTTCTCCACACCTTTATTGTCCTCAGTGCTGGCAGGAGCACTGGGAAAGGGGCAAGCCCTGCCAGCTGCTGAGTTGGGAACACCTGGGATTCCCACCCCAGCTCAGGGCAGCCGGGACAGCCCCACCTTGTTGTTGGCCCTGTCGAAGATGATGTAATACTCCCGGATAAAGACATCCCCCAGGATCCAGAGCTCGCCCTCCTCCGTGGGCACATCCATGCCTTGAAATCCCAGGGTGCAGTACCCGTTACTCTGCTCCAAGGACATGGAATGGGGTGGTCACCAGCTGTTGGATCTCTCCCTCTATCCCCACAAACCCATTCCCGGTGGGATGCTCACCCTTAACACGTAGGCTCTGGGCGGCACCGGGAATTCTTTGCCATGGATGTGGAAGATGAGGTTGGGAAGGTTGCTGACGGCCTCACAGCTGATCTGGGGAGGATGTGGCAGGTTAGTGGCCATTCCAGCTGGGATCAAATGTCCTAGGGAGCATCCTGAGGCCTCACCTCGCCACTGGAGCTGGCGCCAAGGAGCCTCATGAGGGTCCGGAAGGCCCGGATAGGAACAGCCAACAGAGTGGTTCCCGTATCCACGATGGCCTGGCATCCCCTGGAACAGGCCACTGCAGCCCCGTTGACGGAGACACTGGGAAGAGGGATGTAGGGTGAGCCTAGACTCCCCAAAACACCAGCCGGAGGGCAGGGAATGCTGGGAATACCTCTCCATAGAGATCTGCCAGTAGGTTTCAGCAGAGAGCGGGATCCAGGAGATGCCTTTGGTGGTGTAGTAGGGATCGATGGCACCAAAGAGGACAAAACTCCCACCTTGGCTGTCCCTGGAAAGGGGGATCCATCTGGGGTGGATCCCAGCCCGCCAACGCCCCCATTCCCATTGGAAAATGGGGCCAGTGTGAGGGAAAAGGGAAAAATCCTCAGCAGCTTTGTCTGGGATTTACCTGCTAAGGTAGACAGAGAAAAGATGCCTATCCACAAGGTTTTCCATCATCATGTTGTCGAAGACAGGGGTGGCTCCGGAGGAAGCAATGCTTGGGAATGCCAATCCCAGGATGCCATCGAAGGGGGTGTAGTAGAAGAAATCCCCTGGCTCCGTCTCGGCCAACCCAAAAATCTGGTGGCGGACATTGATGCCGGCAACCTGGGAGAAAGGAGACAGATGTGGGTTGGGCACAATCCCATGGGATCCCCATGGAATCCCGTGGGATGAGGGGGCTGGAGCGCCAGGCCGTACGTTGACGGTGTCGTATCCCAGGACTCCTGTCATGCTTCCTGTGCCGTAGGCGATGAACAGGGTGTCATTGGTGCTGAGGAACGTGGAGGATTCCACAGGATTGAAGCGGTTGTGATTCCCTGTGGGGGTGGGAAGGACAGGGGCTGCCTGGGATTTGTCCCTTGGGAAAAACTGGGCAGAGCCACGCAGGACTCCCAAAGGACACATTCCAGCCTCATTCCAGACACCTACTGCAGGCTGGGCTGGAGCAGAAGACTGAGGGAACCCAGAGGTTGGAGGAGCCAGTGTCGAACACCACGGTAAATTCCTGGGGTGGGGTCCCAATGGAGATGGTGCCAAAGTACTCATCCTGTTAGAATGGGATTGGGAAGGGGGTTAATGGGATGGGGAAAGGAGAAAGGATAACGGACTAATGGGATGAGTTAAAGGGATGGGGAAGGGACTAGTGGGATGGATAACAGGCCAGTGGGATGGGGAAGGAGTCAGTGTCCCCCCCGTGCTCCTTGATCCCAGCCCCTCACATCCATGTAGTTCTCCAGGGGCTCCACAGCGATTCCCGGGAAATACTTGGCAGCCAGGTTGTAGGGATGCTGCTCCAGGTAACTCTCCAGCAATCCCTGCTCCTGCAGCCTCTGCCGCAGCGACTTCATCCTCCTCAGTGGCACCCTGTGGACAAGGACCGGGATGAATCACTGGGATGTGCCACCGGGATCACATTGCATCCCACATCTCCCAGTTTTGGAGACCCCCTGGGGCTCACCTGGTCTGGAAGCCCTGGGCCAGGCCCACCAAGGCGAGGAGCAGGAGCAGCTTCATGGTGGGAGCTCACGGAAAATGTGCCTCCGATCCCGGCCCCGCTCCTTATATCCCGGCTCCGGTGTTTGGCCGGAGGCCCCGATAAGAAAGGCAAACTGCTCCTGGGATGGTTATCAAAACGTCCTTAAGGAAGGCAGAGGGGGAATGTCAAGCTGGGGGATCCCCGTATTCCTGGCACAATTCAGGCCACGGGTATGTTGGGATGGGCAGGAAGCACTCCCAGTTATTCTGTGGGAGCTGGTGGGAATGCAAGGCTGCTTGTCCCCTGAACCCTCTAATTCCTTGCTGGAGGGTTTGAGCCAGACACTTCCAGGAATGGGGCAGCCAGAGCTTCCCTGGGAATTCCGTTCCCAGGAATGCCTCACCACCCTTGCAAGGAAGAATTTCTTCCCAAATCCCATCTAACCCAGTCTTCTGATAGTAGGAAGCTATTCCCCCTTGCCTGTCACTCCAGGTCCTTTTCCAAAGTCCCTCTCCAACTCTTGTGGAGCTCCTTAAAGCACTGGAAGAGGCTTCAAGGTCTCTCCAGATCCTTCTCCTCTTGTCAAGGCTCTGTGAAGAATTTTCAGGCTGCCAAGTCCAGACTTTGCATTCTGGGAATCAGCCAGGACTTTCTCCTTTCCAGCCCCCTACAACACATCCCATCCTCCTTTTCTTCCTCAGGGATAATCTGGTGCTCCATCCCTTTTCTCCCAACATCCCCCATCCAGGTTCTTCTTCATTTCACTCCCCCAGGGTAACCTAGCACCGTATCCTGATTCTTCTATCATTCCGAGCTGGGATGGGGCTGATTCCAAGGGAGGAATGCCAGCTCCAGCCTTAGGGAGCCTTTGATCTCCTCCAGGACAAGGTGACCGTTTCAGAACCCACTGATCCAGCACGTGGGGCCGTGACCAAAGCCAAGGTGTCCAGTCCTGCTCCGGTGACCTTCACCCAGAGGCATCTGGATGGAGCTTGGCTTTCGCTCAGCTCATCCCAGTTTTTCCCCCAGTTTAGGAACTTTGGATGTGGGAATGGAGTGACAGGGCAAGGGGAATGGCTCCAAACTGGAAAATGGGATACTGGGGAGAAACTCTTACCTGTGAGGCTGGTGAGGCCCTGGAATGGATTTCCCAGAGAAGCTGTGGCTGCCCCATCCCTGGGAGTGTCCAAAGCCAGGTTGGAGAAACCAACCTGGAATGTCCCTGTAGATTTTGGAGTTACCAAGATTTCCTCCTTTTTTTGGCCAAAATAGTAGAGAAAGTAAAAATATGAAGTTTTTCCAGAGCTATTTATCTATTGAATTCCCAGAACTGCCATCCCTGGGGATCAGGATTCCTGTTTTCTCAATGGAAAAAACACCATTATGGGGAGTTTTAGGACAAGCTTATTTTGCTGCTGGTAAATCCTATCAAAGCAGAACAATGGACCCAACAGGGATGGATTTTTGTATGGATGATATCCAAAGAAGGAAGGAGCCGTGGAATTCAGGACTGGGAAAAAAATGGGAATTGCTGTTTAGCACTAATTAAATCCAGAATAAAATTTGGGAGGATGGAGAAACAACCCCTTTTAGGGTATGAAATGTCTTCCTTGGAGAGAAATCCTGGATTTTCCCAACTCTGGTGGGGAAATGGAGGGCATGAGATGCTGGATCCAGGAATAATCCATTCCGGTGCTGGGAGCTCATAGGATGGGAGCAGGTGGCCTCCCTGCCACAGCTTTCCATGGCACCAGAGGGCACCACATCATGCAGAGATCCCAAAACCCCCAGCTGGAAAGATGGATCTGAAAGCTTTTCCTCCTGGTTTATGCAGCCAGGGCCGCGTGAGAATTCCCGGGGAATAAAACCCTCCCAAAAATTAAGCATTTACTGGGAAAATTTAGATTTTAAATGCCGTTTTGATGTGGAAACACCCCTTGGGATGAATTTAACCTCCATGGGAATCACCCTCTGGATCAAACAGGGATTTTCAGGCTTTTGGGACATCAAAACTTGTTCCGACAAAACTTCCTTAATTTTATCTCTGCAGCCTCCCAAAAAAAATCCCCTTATGGAGACAGAGCTTTTCTTGGAAATGGATTAGTGAAGTCAACTTTTCCAGGCCCTGTTCCCAGTTTTTCTTGTCCCTTCCCTAAAGGCTTTTATCACCCGGGTGCTTTATCGGAGCTGTCAGATGAAAGGATGGAAATCTGACGCTCCCGAGGTGTCAAATTTCCGGGATTGGCTTAAAAATATTTAATTAACTTATCAAGGAAGCCCAGGGATGTTGGCTGATCCTTGTGGGAATGGAATTCTGCAGAACGGGACCTCAGGGTGCTCAGGTCACCTTTTCCTACCTGCTGTGGGTGATTTTGGCTGGGATTAAGATGCCATCCAAGGGAAAAAAACATGTGGAACCATCTTTTGTGGAAATTAAGGATACTAATAAGCAACTAATGGGAATATCCTTCCAAAACCACCTGTTTATCCCAAATTTATTTCTGGATAACACTTTTAAATGGGAATTTTTCCATTTCGTCCGTGCAAATCCAAACACAATTTTCCCTCTCCTCAAACCTTATGTTTTGATATAAAATGTTAATTAAACATTTTCCAGCTTTTCCAGGTCTGTGGAAACTGCTCCAAAAGAAGCCTGGAAAATGTTTTTTCCCCTTTGGAATGTCAAGTCCCTTTTCTTTCCCATGGCACTGGGGGTTTGACCCGGTTATCAGCCACACTGGGAACAAGTTGTCCTTGATTTATCCGGGATTATTTGGGATCATATGACTCCCATTTTTTACACAACAGCTCTCAGGTGACGGGATCAGAGGTGCCTTTCCCAGATCCCAGCACTTCTGGAACAGCTGGGTGACCTTGCCCAGACTTCCAAAGTCTCCTGAAGTAGTAGAAATCATGAAGCTCTTCCCCTGCCTCATCCTTCCATGTGTTTTGGGAATGTGGAGCTCCCGGTGGAAAAGTGGAGCATTTTCCAAGTGTACTTTGGGAAAGTTGGATTTGTGGAGTGGGTGATGAGACTGGACCTTTCTCATGAATATTCCTGTGTCATGCGAGGAGGAGCTAACCAGGTATTCCAGAGGAATTTGCTTTGATCTCTTGGATGCAGCTGGAAGAACCCGACATTTTATGAATTATTAGGATATTGGCGAGGTCTGTATGTGCTTCCTAAACCACTTCCAGCCTGGCCTTGGACACTTCCAGGTATGGAGCAACTGGAGCTTCTCTGGGCATCTTGCTTTGCCACCCTGACAGGGTAGGATATATTCCCAAAATCCAATTTAAACCCGCCCTGTGTCCATGCGGAGCCTTTCCCCCTTCCCTGTAGCTCCACGCCTTTCTCCAAAACCCCTCTCCAGCTCTCCCGGAGCCCCTCGCACCCCGGAAACACGAAGGATATAATTCCTAGAGCAGCTACAGCTCGGGGAAAACCCCGCCGGTAGCCAAAGAGCGATTATTGATTTTAAAATGCCATTAAATTGATCTGCGCTCCCGCCCCCCAACATGGCGGCGCTGGGCGGAACCACCCCCCTCACGCCCGGAGGGGGGGGAACCCGCTCCTCCCGCCCCGCCCAGGTGGGCCCGCCCACTTCCGGTTTATACCGGAAGCAGGAAGCAGCGGCGGGCGGAGGGTCCCGGCGGCGCTTTGGTGAGTCCGGGAGAGGGCCGGGAATGGGAATAACGGGAATAACGGCGGGATAACGGGGATAATGGCGCTTCTCCCGCCACGGTGCTCGCTGCAGCCCCAGAGGTGGGCAGTCCTTTGTGTCCACCTTCCTGAGCGCCTGTGGATGCTTCCCAGAGCCCACCCCAAGCTTTCCCATTCCCACCATTCCCGCTTTGCCCTCTTAAACTCCACGAAAGTTAACTAATGCCCCCCTAAAAAACCCAAATCAGGTGATTTCTGCCCCGCACCTGCAGCGCGGGACTTAATTCCCAGTTTTTCCCTGGGACAGGTTTATCTGGATCGTGGATTGGGCAATCCTGAGCCCCAGCGTGGCATTCCCGGTGTAATATCCTTGGGATGTTCCAGCTGGATGAGAGCTAGAAGAGCTGGGAACGAAGGCAGCAGTGCAGGTGTGTTGTGTTTCCTTGGTTTTTAGGGCATTCCCACGTTATTCCATCCCATCTCTTGGAATTCACACCAGACACGGGATACTTGTTTAACATATCAGACAGCTGGGATAAATAATGAATCGTGGATATGGCACGGGAAGTCTATCATTTCCCTGATCCTTTTTGTTATTTCACTGAATTCTGTGGCAGGAAGGTGGAATTAGGTGATCCCTGAGGTCCTTCCCAGCCCTGTGGGTATGGTGAGATATGGTCAGATCCCGGTTTCCTTGCTAGAATGGGAACCTGGGATGGGATGGAGTCTGGAATGGGATGGAGATGTGGATTTTTTTTCTTGACAAAAAACCCTGGGACACACAAAATTCCATCCAAATCACCTTGGGAAAGGGGGGGAAAAGTCTTTTCCCAAGCAGGAGTTAGTGGGAATGTTGTTTTACCCTCTCTGTTTATGGAACCTGGCACAGCTGCCCCAAAGACTTTAACGAGCCTGGATTTCGGTTGGAAACTTATTCCCAGTTGGATTTTGGAATTGATTTGCCTCTTTTTCCGTGTCCCAGGAATCTGGGAGGATGGATACACTGAGGGACCGGACAGTGGAGGAGCTCCGGGAGCTGCAGGAGGATTCCCAGGAGATTGAGCGCTTGGCTTTGGAATCCCAGGAGGTTTGTGCCAGGAGGTGGCTCCGGGGTGTCCTTGTCCCCTTCCCACACTCACCATCCCGAATTCCACAGGTTCAGGAGCTCCAGCTGGAAAGGGAGATGGCCCTGGCTGCCAACCGGAGCTTGGCCGAGCAGAACCTGAAATTCCAGGCGCCGCTGGAGACGGGACGCAGCGACCTGTCCAAGAAATACCAGGAGCTGCAGGAGCTGGCTGGGAGGTGCAGAGAGCAGAAGGAAAAGCTGGGTGAGCACTGGGATCTTCCTGCAGGAAGGCATATCTGCTTCCTGGAAAACTGATATCCCTCTTTTTTCCAGCAGCTGGAGAGATTAAGGATGTTATTCCACTTGGATTTCCCTCCTTCCATCAGCAGTTCCTAAACCCTGTGGTTCCCAAATCCTGTGGGCTCTCTGCTGGTTTTTCCTGGTTTCTGTTCTGTGATAGTGATTTTCCCTTGGTTTCTTCTTTTCCCCACTTGGTTTTCCCAGAGAAATTCTCGGCAGCGCTGCAGCCTCAGACTTTGCTGGATCTCCTGCAGGTGGAAAGCCAGAAGATTGAAGAGGAATCTGAGGTGAGTGTAGGGCTTAAATCCATTGGGAATTCCAGTGATTTCATCCTCAAAGACTTGCAGTTAAACCCAGTTCCTAAAATCATGGATTATCTTTGGATTCTGCTGGGTTTTCTCCAAAGAACTGGATCCATCCTTGTTTGTGTGTGGATGCTGCTCCTTGGGATGTGGATGGGAGAGACCTAAGTCAGGATTAAGGAAAAGGAGCGGAGGGATACAGGCATGAGCCTGAGGCTGCTTCTCTCTTCCAGAAAATGGCTGAGAAATTCCTGGAGGGCGAGGTGCCCCTGGAGACATTCCTGGAGCAGTTTTCTGGGATGAGGAAGTTGTTCCACATGCGCCGGGTCCGAGTGGAAAAGCTGCAGGAGATTGTGAGGAAGTCAGAGGGATCCCAGGAGCACACCAGGGACTCTCAGCGCCCTCCTCCTCCTCCTCTTCCTCCTCCTCATGTTCCCACAGATCCACCAAAACCCTTCCCATCGGGATCTCCGGCCTTCCCTCTACCCTACAGCCCAGCTCCCAGGCCACCTTTCCCTACCCGCTTCCTCCAGCTCCCGGATATCCAGCGGCTTCCGCTGCTGACTCTGCGCCAGGGTATCCCAAATCCACCTCAGGAGGCTTTTCCTGGTCTCCATCCCGGGGCCCACCACAGCCCTTGCCCTATCCTGCTCCCCATCCCTCTCCTCCCGCTGCCAGACCGGGATACTCTCCCTACATCCCACCTGGAGCAGGGAGACCGCAGTGTCCGTACCCCACTCAGCCCCCTCTCCCGAATTTCCCGATCCCAACGCAGGCTCCCTATTCTGGGCCTCCCCCACCCTTTGGATACCCCCCACCTCCAAACCCTCAGCGTCCTCCCTGGCCTGGATACTAATCCAGGACTTCAGGGGAAGCATCCTGTGCTGATTCCTCCTTTTTTTGGGGACTGAGGAAGAGGAGAGATCCCAGAGTGTTGCTCCTGGATCCGTCAGTGCAAAGGAATTACACAGGATAAGTCACAGCTCTGGAGGTCGGAGTGAGAGGCAGAGCCAGACCGCAGAAATCTGGAGAGGAGAAACCTCCAGGGAAACCTTGGAGCACTTTCCAGTGCCTAGGGGGGCTCCAACAAAACTGGACAAGGACTTGGAGTGGTGGGATAATGGGGAATGGCTTCACACTGTTAAAGGGTGGGTTTAGATGGGATTTTGGGAGGAACTTCTTCCCTGTGATGGTGGTGAGACCCTGGAATGGATTTCCCAGGGAAGTTATGGCTGCTCCACCCCTGGAAATGTCCGAGGCCAGGTTGGACGGGACTTGGAGCAACCTGGGCCAACGGAAAGGGTTTGGAAGTGTCTGATCCCTAAGATCCCTTTCCACCCAAACCATTCCAGGGCCATCAGTGGGAGTCGGTGATTCCCACCTGGGCCTGGGCAGCCTCCAGTATTCCCGACCTCCCGTGTGGTGTTTGGGCTCCTCACATCCCCCTTCTCAGGAAACACTTGGAAACAGAGGGAATGACAAACGATGGAAATGGGATTTGCTTTGCTCAGCACTTTATCCTTCAAATCCTGCCTGTATCCCTTTAAATTATTTATAAGGAACTATTACTAATGGACTAGGATGAGGGATTGATGGAAGCAATTCCATCTCTGGGATTAATTAGAATAATAAAACTGGATGAATTAATTGCACTCCGGAGTCATGACCATGGTTACTTTGGGAAACAACGGAATATCCGGATGAGGATTGATCCCTTTATCCCTTCCTGGCATCCAACTTCCTTTGGATCCCATCACTGATATCTTTCACTCCCTCCCAGGACCATCTTCAAGCTTGCTTCAATTCCTGCACTTCATGGGTTTATCCCTAGGATAAAAACCAGGGAAAAACATGTTTCCCTGTCCCACTCCCTCCTGGCAGGGAGTTTGGAATCACACTGGGATAACAGAAGGAAAAGAACAAGATGTAATTAGTACAAAACCCCCATTTTATTACAGTTGTTGGTTATTAAATATCTCAAACTTCTTCCCAGTATTCCCACCCTTACACCTCTATCCTTTATCAATCATCCCAGCTCTTTATCCTGGTTTGGAGAAGCTGGTGATCCCACTAATCCAAAGGGCTCCTTGTACCCCCCCTACCTCTTAGATTCCTGTAAATAGCTTTAAGAAATCCCCAAAAGCTTCCTTTTCTTCCTTGAGGAGGCTGGGAAGTGCTCCTGGAAGGGCCCTGGAATGCCGGGATGCCCCCAAAGCTGAGGTGGGAGGTGGGATCAGCTCCTTTGGGAGGAAGGAACTCACACCCTGCGGGCGGAGTGCAGGTCGTAGTCACTGTCCGAGGAGTTATCCGGAGGGTTGGAGCGCTGGCACGCTGCTTCCAGAGCTGTGGAGAGCATGGATACACCTCACTGGAGGCACATCCATGGAAAAGGAACAGGAAGGGGCCGCTTCCAGCACTTACCTGGGTAAGCAGAGAGCTGGGAGCTCTTCTGGGGGGGCTGAGCGTAGTCGTTGTCCCCTCCCTGTCCCCGAAGCCTAGGTGCGGTGCTGGAGCGGTGGAAAGACACTGGAAAAGACAGTGGGATTGGGATTTTGGGGTTGGAACAGCAGTTTGGAGGGAACAAACCCATCCTGGGAAGGGGCTGAATAAAATCAGTTCCTGCTCCAGGCGTGCATCTCCTGGATGAGTTATATCCGTAAAGGAAGTGAGATCCAGGGTGCTTGCAGCAGGATCCAGGGGGGAACAGCCCACCCAGACCCCAAATCAATCTCCAGGAGTTCCAAATCCCATTCCCAGCTCCCAGGGAGCTGCTCCTCACCCGTCTGGTTGAGTCCTGTGGGGCCGATCCATTGGCGCTGCTTCTTCTTTGAGACTGAAAGAGAGAGGGAATTGTGTCTCCAAGGACCTTCCTGATCCTTCCTCTGGCTGCTTCCCCCCTGCCAGCCCCATATGTCATCCCAAATAATCCCCCCCTTCCCAATAATCCTCCCCCAGGATCCTCCACCTGCTCTTTTGTGTCTGCTTGGAGCTTAATCCCTCTTCCCGCTCCCACACTCCATGTGGGACAGGCTTGGGGACAATGGGATGGGGGATCTGTCAGGCTGAGCAGCCAAATCCCCCCCGCAAGGAGTCCAGGGAAGCATCCATGGAGCTGCCAGCCCTGAGCCAGCATGTGGGGATGGGGGAGAGGGAGAAGAAAGAAAAGAAGGATAGGGATCCCCAGGTTGTGCCCTACTTCTCTTCATCAGCTTCCGATAGGCAGGAGGGCCACAGATCAGGAAAAGGATGAGGAAAAGCAGCAGGGCCAGGCAGATGCTCACGACGGTTCCAGTGGATGTTCCAGTGGGAAGTGGCTTTGAGTCCTGGCCTGGGAAGAGCATGGATGTCATCAGGTGTGCACAGCTGGAGGTTGGCGCCGGGATTCATTACCCACAGGGAGCCCAAATCCCACGTGGATTTGGTCCCCCCATCCCTGTCCATTCCATAGGTGTGGGAATTCCAGCCCCCAGTGCTCCACATGGCTTACACGTGACTCTGGTTCGGGAGCAGCTCCGGGTATTCCCAAACTTGGGCTGGCAGAGGTGCAGGGGACCGACCCCACATGTGACTCCCATCGAGGGAAGCTCCTGGATTTCCATGCTGGAAGTGAGATTCCCACAGCCCAGCTCTCGGCAGATCTGCCGGCCGCGCTCGTCTCGCTGCGCTGCTCCAGAGTCACACAGATCCCACCACTGGCCCGCATGGAACACCTGGATGTCCCCTTGGCACGGAGTGGGGCCGGCCGCCAGCCTCCGCAGGGCCCGCGGCTGGGAATCTGCGGGAAAAAGGAGCAAATCCATAGGGAGAGGGGCTGGATCCACAGGGAGGGGTCAGACCCCTGGGGAGGGGTGAAATCCACAAGGAGAGGGAACAGATCCATGGGTAGAGGGGGATCAGACCCGTGGGAAGACAAGGGTCAGATCCATGGAGAGGTGTCAGAGCCAGAAGGAGAAAAGAGTCAGATCCATGGAGAAGGGTCAGATCTTCTGTGGGAGAAGAGCCAGATCCACTGGGAGAGAGGAGTCGGACCCACAGGCAGACAGGGATGACATCCACGGGGATACCGCTGGCACATGCTCCTCCTCCTCCCAGCACCGGCTCCTGGCACAGGGATGCTCCCAGCATCTCCCCTCGTGCCACAGGGACTGAGCCAAGCCAGAGCCAGGCATGGAGGAGCTTTGAACTCTTCCCATGGGAAATGCAGCATGGAAGCCGGCTCTGCCAGCTGTCACAGCCGATTAAACCCCCAAATCCCGTGGGATTCCAAGCTGGGCAGATGGCAGGACCCACATGGAGCCTGCTCTGAGCTTCGTGGTCTGGCTCTCTGTGCCACGGAAATGGCACCGAGCTGATTTCCAGGGAAACAGTCATGGACAAGGACAGGGAGATGCCTGTGCTTAGGAGATGCTCATGGCAAGGGAAAGATGCCTGTAGCAGGGAAGAGGGTCATGGAAAAGCAGGGATATGCCTCTGGCAGGGAGGGTATCCAGGGAGATACCCGATGCAGAGAGATGACTGGATCAGGGAGATGCCCAAGGCATGGAAGATGCTCAGGCAAATGCCTGAGGCATGGAAGTTGCTCAGGGAGCTTCCCACAGCAGGAAGGATGCCCACAGCCTGGCCCTTGCCAGTGTTCCCCACTCCCATCTGGAATCTGGGACGCTGCCATGGCTGCTCTCCCTCCCCGGAGAAGAGCATCCTTCTTGCAAGTGCCACACTCGGCACTGCCGGGAACTGAGATTTCCTGTTTTGCCTTCGCACCCCAGAGAGGAAGAGCAGGAGTGGGTGGATGGGGCCCATGGGGATGGAGCTGGTCCCCTGCTCCAGCCCCAAAATCCCCCTGGGGTATCCCACCAAATCATGGATGCTCCAGGACCACTCTCACCTGAGCAGGTGATGAAGGCGGGTGTTTTCCCCCGGGAGCTGGTCCTGTTGAAGCAGTCCAGCAGGGAACGGCTCCCACAGGAATCCACCGCCTCCCACCGCACCGGCATGTGGATCCCTGGATCCGGCTCGCCGTGGCTGTTCCCAGCAGCGCCACAGCGCAATTCCCGGCAGATGAGGGTGACCAGATGTGACCGGTTGTGCGGGATGCTCGCTACAGCCCCCCACAGCCCCTGCTTGTGCAGCTCCAGGAAGCCAGAACAGCTGAAATTCCCGTCCACCAGCCGCAGCCTGGGGGGTCCTGGAGAGGGATTGGTGATGGAAGAGGAAGTGTTATCTACTGGGATGGCACTTTTCCCCATTATTTAGCGGGAAGTTCCCAGATTTGAGACTACGAGTTCCTCGGGAGGAGGTGCTTACCCACGGGCCCTGGGGTGGTGGCGGGGGGTGCCGGTGGGGGCTTCGGAGTGGTTTTCACTGGCTCTGGAATGAGAAGAGAGGGGCCACATGGGCATGGATGATCCCTAGGGATTGAGGTGTCCCGGCTGGAGGTCCAGGCTCACCTCTGCAGGCGACAATGACGTGTTCCGTACAGTTTTCCAGCTCCCAGTTGCATCCTGGTGGGTTCGGTGGCCCCCTGCACCTTGTGGCCTGACTGTGTGGCCCTTTCCCACCAGGAATGCTGAGCTCCAAGGGCTCAGAGGTCAGGGGGCCACACTTTAGCCGCTGGCAGATCCAATCCAGGTCATCCATGCTCACGCTCTCCCAGCAAATTTGTCTCCATTGGTTTTCCCAGTTCACTTCCAGTATCCCAGTGCAGCGGCAGCCGCCTCTGGTGAGTCTCAGGATGGATTCTGTGGAAAAACAAAATCATTAGGGGCTTTCCTTCCCTTCCCACGGGTTTTCACCATGGGAACAATGGAAAAACCTTTGGTGGGGTCTTGGGAAGCAGCAAGACGAATGCGGGGGCCTGAGCTGGGACCCCACGATGCCCCTTCCGGATGACACAACTCCAGCACCCACCATGCTCATGGAGCTGTGGCGGCATTCCCAGAGGGCTGCTCCCCAAATTCTCACCTCCAGGAATCCAGGTGGCTCCTCCATGGTCAGGGATGGCTGTGAGAAAGAGCGGAAATGGGGCGTCAACACCACATCCCACCCTGGGGACCCCGAGTTTGGGACAGCGTCTCCGCTGCTCGGCCCGTTGATGGTTATTTTGGGGAAAAGATGGATTTTGTGGGAAAACTGGGTTTTTCGGGGAAGAAAGGTGATTTGCTGCCTCCCCATCCATCTGCTGGGGGCATCTTTACAGCTGAGAAAAGACAAGGGCCCTGCAAATTACCTCTGATGAGCCCTGCTCCTGGGTGGAAGGTTCGGGAATGGAGCCATGTGGACCGAGGCAAGGGCGGGAGCTGGCAGGGAATGAGGATGAGGGAACACCTGGCTGCCCTCAGCACCACTGGCTCAACCTTGGGACCCTGGGGACCCCCAGGGGGAGGTGGGTGGGCGTTTGGGGGGTCACTAGGGTGCTTCCCACCCCAAACCACAACTTGTGGCTCACTCAAGGTGCCGATCCCGCATGGAGCGGGAAAACCAGGGGGGAATTCTGCCACGAGATTTGAGCAGTGCAGCGAGGTCAGGGTGCCCGGTACTCACCCCACATTCCCAGCAGGAGGCACAGGATGGGCAGCCGGGATGCCATGGGCTCTGTTGGTGGGATGGGGGCACGGGAGGCTCCGGAGGCTCCGCCGCCTCCGCTGCCCAGCCC